CCGGTGAGCAAGTGTTTGCTACCATCTTCTCCCAGACAGCACTCTGCTGCCTACTCTTCAACCGGACGTTCTCCCGCAAGCAAAGTCTCCTGGATTCTTTGAGACGGTAGCCATCTTTCTGCAGGAATGAACCACCAAGAAAGAATAGCGAAGATTGTGACGATGCCCATGATGACCGGGGCATAGTTGAGTGTCGATGCCTCAACCGGAAAAGCATAGGGCGAGAACAGCACAGCAACGACCCAGCCGTTCCACAAGACAGCAATTGCCTGGAAAGGCTTGCTCAGGCGTCCGAGACTCCAAGCGGGCTTCGGGAATTGCTTTGGTGTCAGGAAAAGGCGACAAAGGCAGATCAGACCGTAAGCTGCGGCTGAAGGAACACCCGCAGCCGAGACGAGGGAAGTAAAGGCCACTGATGACGGAAGAATCGTGCAGGTGATGACAGAGGCCACACCCCAGACGACCAAGACGGCGTTTCGGGGTTGGCCATCGACAACTTTGGCAACCCAAGGAGACCAAGGGAGAACTCCGTCTCGTGCCACGGCGAACACCAGACGCGACGCCGCCAGAATTGCAATCGCAGTGTTCTAAGCGAGGGTCAGCACGTTATTCAATAGACACGGGAATAAGGTACGAGAAAAGACAAACATGACTTACAAACCACAGTGCGACAATGCAAACGATGTTCATGAAAATGTGGCCTCTCTCTCCGAGAATGGCTGCATACAATGGTACAAATGGCTGGGCGCCGCCAAAAGAGAAAAGGGTGTCCGCATCAGGCTGTGTCAAATTCCGTTAGCAGGGTTCGTTCCTGCGCTGCATTTGAGAAGAGCATAAACTTACGACGCAGAACAGAAATAATATCACGACAACAAAGCCGCCAATCCCGCTGACCACGGTACTCCAAAAGATGCCGCGAGCGGCAGCGACGCTTGCATTCTTGGTCTCCTCCGCCACGTGCCCCGACGCGTCGAATCCGATGAGAATACCGGCAGTAGCGAGATACGAGAGACACCAATTCCAACCGGCCGGAGCGCCGGTCCCGTTGTAGGTGGTCATGAAAGCATCATGGGCAGATCGGAAGCCGTACTCGCTCTTGCTTGTCGCGACCGGTAGCCAGACCATGTTTAGAACAAAGTCCAGCAACACGAACCCGGTCGACAAGTAGAAGATCCATTTAAAGTAGCGGGCTGTGCTTTTGTTAGCTTGTCAATGATGGCACATAGGAGTCTAGGTGGTCTCACGAGGCAGGAGGTTCCAGATGGCAGCCAAGGCCAGCATGACCTCTGTAGTGATCCATTGAACAGCGCGAAATTTGACGCTTGAGGAGTCAGAAGGAAAGTCGAGATTGAAGACAACAATCTCCTGTTACAAAGTCAGAGACTGTTACAGAGAAGTCAGTTCTTTGTGCCATCACTTACCGAAAGCATGTAGTTCACAGCGGCTTGTGTGTTGCCTGAGAGGGATCAGCGACTCAGGTTGGGAAGATGCCTCAGAAGTTGCTGTCAACTTACTCGCACAGAAAGTTGTCCATGCTGTGGTACTCCACCATGCAACGATGAAGCCGAAGAATCTGCCAAATCGGGGTCCGCCAGCTTCAGCAGCCCATAGGTAGATGGATCCCGCCAAGGGTAGAGAGGAGCAGATCTCTGCAATGACTGCGGCAGTGATGAAGGTAAAGACGCAAGTTACGATGAAACTCGTCCTATCTGAATGTTAGGCGTTGCAAATGCACATCGGTGAGTGCAGACACTAGCACTTACCAGTAAGCCAGGTTACCTCCAGCAGCAATGCCGGTAGAGAATGTCACTCGGACTCCACCAATGAAGTAGAGGGCAGCTAAACGAGATCAGAAATGACGAAGAGAACCAGCAGACTGGATACGGCGTACCGAACGTTGTCGCAAAGTTGTGGAACGTATTGAATGTCCGGTGCAGCACCTAGAAGAATGAGTTATTTGTGTGAGATGGGCTGACTTTTGAAATCGTCTGCTCACCGGCTTGTAGCCTAGGTTTTCCTGCCGATTCTGCGGTTAGCTGACTGAAATGCAATGCTTTCATGCTGTGTGTTGCTCACCAAGACCCGGGCATCTTTTGAAGACTCATCTTCTGCGTCGCTCTGGAAGGTGTTCGCGTTCTTGGCGACGCCTTCGTCTTGGCGCTCAGTCGCAGCCATGTTGATGATGTTCTCGATGTTGGTCCAAGCTGAGCGAATTAGCGACGTCGGAGCGAACAAATGCGGATGGAGGGGACGTCGTCTTATGGGAGATGGAGTATTCGGGCCGCCCAGGGGCCGTTGAAAAATCTAATTAGTGGGACGGAAATGTTCGGCTTTTGCGTGTGAAGAAATACGAATCTTCTAATCATTGCTGTATGTGCTAATGGCTGACTTAAGTCGGAGCACCCCCATTCGGCCACCCCCCCCATTCGGCCACCCTATTAAAAGTAGGTCTAAGTACATCGCTACTAACTATAGTTAATTAATTAACTACTTTTTATTATTACTATAATATAGTTACTACCTTTATTAAGTAATTTAACTTTTATAGTTTAATTAGGACTAATTAAACGCTCACTAGCGTTTTCTTAAGCCCTCTTTATATCTTTAATATTAATAAACTTAGTATTTAAGTTTATTTAAATACTCTTTTTTTTTTAAGAACTATATACTTAACTTTAGCTTTTAGAACTCGAACTTATTATTAAAATAAAGTTAATAAGAAGGACTTCTTACTAAAGGCTTTTTTAATTTTATAAAAAAGTAAACGTTAAGTATAGTAGTTAGGCCTAAGCTTTATAAATAGTTTTAGCTATTTATAAAGCTTGTTAATTTTCTTAGGAATTAATTAGTTAATAATAGATATTATAAAAGTCTAGTTAACGACTTTAGTAATATTAATAATTATTTACTTAGTATTAGTAATATTATTTAATAATATAACTAGGTTAGATAATACTATAAGATTATTAAGAAATATAGTTATATTAAATAGTTATAAACTAATTACTCTTTAATTACTTCGTATATTATCCCTTATTAAACTAAGTAAACGAGCTATAATATAATAAACTAAAAAATACTACTTTTTAATAATAATAAAATTATTTACTATATCCTCTTTATTAAGCTCCTTTTTATAATAGGTTTTAATAAAATTAAAAATAGTTATATTTAATAACTAGAGGATATAAGAGGTATATAGTAATAAGAATAATAAGTAGACGTTATTAATATAGTACTCTTATATAAATTCTATTATTATATAACTCTTATACCTATTTAGAATTAATAATCGAGGCTTTAGCTATAGGTTAAGTCCCCTAGTTATAAAGGGCTTAGTTTATAATAAAAAAACTACCCTTAACTATATAAGGGTAGTCTAGTCTATAGTTTACTTATTATTTATTATTATAAACTCCTAACTATCGAAATCTTTAAAATTAAGGGGGAACTATTACTATTAAACCGACTTTTTTTTAATAAATTAGTAATAGTTTAATAGCTCTATTATTAATAAAAATATACTTAATAATAGAGATTTAGGAACGCGATTTAGGCTCTTTTTTTTATATTATATTAGTCTTAGCTATGCTTAAAACTAGCTTATTAAATCCCTTACCCTTAAGGATATTAATCTTATTTATATTATATTTATTAACTTATTTAATATCCTTAATTTTTAATATATTAAATAATTAGAACTAGGGCCTAATTACTTTAATAAATACTTTATTAATATATTTTAAATTTATAAAACGACTTTTTTAAATTTTAATAAATAAGTTCTATTTTAAAAAGGTATTTATTTTTTTTTTTTTAAGAAAATAATTATCTCCCTAGGCTTATAGTACTTATTTAGCAAATTCTCTAACTTATTTATAAATTAATATAACTCTTAAAATATATTAAATACGAACCTATTTAATTAGCCTATTTTCTTATTAAGGGGGAAGCTTTTATTAATTTATAAAAATAATCGCCCTAGCTTATTAACCTTATTAATAATTCTAAAATATACTTTTTAAAATCCCGAACTTAATCGAGGCCCTCTTAACTAAAGTACTATTTTTAATTACCTCGAGCGCTTAAATAACTTTATTTTTAGTATATAATACTATAATATAATAAAAAACATATGTACTAAAAAGAAATTCGTTTAAACAATAATTATAATTATTATAGTAGTTTATATATTAAGGGTAGGATTTTAATTAGGGTGGCTGGGAGGGATTTTTGGGGTGGCCGAATGGGGGGGGTGGCCGAATGGGGGTGCTCCGACTTACTTAGTCGCGTGATGTGGGACTGAATGACGGCATCGGTAAATCGTACGAAATAGCCTTAGCAGCAACTTGGTGACACCAAACGAGATGAGTCTTTAGACAGGTCGATGAACAGATAATTTGCTGTTAGATGTAGTATAATGTGTGCTTTGAACAACATTACACCCGGACTTGTGGTTTCAAGTCCTCTGCTTGCTCCATGATATACTCTACACTACTAACACATCGCACAATGGAGCGCTGAGTAAGTACATGTAGCATCAGGCCGGGTTTGACAAACGTTGAGAGACGATCACAACCATCCACACACTGAGGGACTGATACACTCCGCCTTTGGCAATGATAGCATCTTTCTCTCTTCACTTACCGCCATATTTCTCTCTTTTTCTTCGGAGGTTGAGATTAGATTGGGATGTCGCCGCGCTCCGCGTGCCCCTGCCAATCAGGTCAACGTAAGCAACCCCGGGTTGACTGCCAGTTGGGGGATGGTACGATAGGTTTCGGGCATCAGGCCCATCACGCAATCGGCACTCAAAGAACGTGACGCATTGGATCACAGGACACGGTCAGTCTTGAGTAGTTCTTCGACGTTCTAGATGCTCAGGGTTCAGTATTCACCGTAGATATGAAATTCAGAAAATTGGGCGAACTTCATTGGCGCCGACATCTTGTGACTCTCACTTCGGAACTCTCTTGGGAAACTGAAGGTTTAATGCTAGAATGGCGATCCTCGTTCTGACTTCGCTGGTTGCTCTATGCATTGTGGCGGTGACAGCGTTCAAGGTATTTATTATCTCAAAGAGCTCAAATCTTCAACTTGATCGGACGATTGACACTCTCCAGACCGTCACCAAAGCTCACGCATCTCCCCTATCTCGTATTCCTAATGCTGGATGGGGAGCAGGCTATTCCAGGTTGATCTGGGCTTTTCGTCAAGAATACCGAGGCAACGTCACCCTTGAACTTCCAAAATTGCATGAGACCCTAGGTAGCTCCGTTTTCCCCATCAAACCATTGACACGGGTGGCAACTGATTCTATTGTCCTCCTAGGCCCTCTCATCCGAATTGGTCCCAATGAGCTATCGTTCTACTCCATCGACATCTACGATACAGTCCATAAAGTCAATAGCGGATTTGTAAAAGATCCCCGAAACTACGGAGAATTCGTCCAAGATGAACATCCCGCACTCTTCTCTATCACGTTCGTTACGACCCTTCTGAAAGAAACGTAGCCTTTCTTTTTATGTCCTAACAGCCCGTAGAGATCCTCAAGAGCATGCCAAGAGGCGGAGAATTCTTGGTCAACTCTTCAGCCGCAGCAATATTGAGAAGCTCGAAGGGTTAATGCTTCATCACATTGATAATTTTGTCTCGGCAGTCGAAAGAAGAAGCGTCTCTTTTGACATAGGCCCTGCCTGCCGCGCTCTTGAGGCAGATATCATATGTGAGACGCCACGGTATGACCCGGCTCTGCGTTCGTCAGCTGACTTCTCAAGCGGATTTCTCATTCGGTGAAGCCTTATCGGCCGTCTCTGCCTGGTCAAAAGGAGAAGAAGTTGCTCTTGTATCAAAGAACGATGAAAAAGCGACATTTTTGCCTCTGGTACGTTTTAGGGTCTTGGAACTTGTGAAGTCTAGACAAAGCTGACCATATACCTAGATGATGAACTTCCCGCTTCTGTACTCAACCTGGGTGAGAGTAGAAGACTTCTTGTGTCATATGGAAGGCTTGCGTACATCCTCTAAAAAGGGACTGCAGCAATACGACGAGGTTCGTTCAAAAGATACGAAACTTGTTAGCGTACTAATTCGAGAAGTGGACGCACAAAGCTTGGGTCCGAAACAAAGATCCAGGCCGAAAGTCACAATTTCCCAATCTGCTCAACGTCATGGTTTCAGCTGGCGTGCCGACTCAGACTGCCCTATCAGAGGCCAAGGAGAACCTGGGACCTGGGACCGACACCACCTCTGCATCCCTCGCCCATATCCTCTATGCCCTTTCCTGGAACCCGACTTATCAGCAGAAGTTGTATAAAGACCTAGCATCCCACGGATTTCCCACGGATTTCAATACTTTAGAAAACATCCCTCGCTTGAGAGCTTGTGTCAAAGAAGGCATTCGTTGGGCTGGTGCATCTGTGGCGATGTTGCCTCGTGTGGTTCCCAAGGGTGGTGTTGAGCTATGTGGAAATTTTGTTCCCGAAGGCGTAAGTCACCACAGTGGCATGTTTAGTGATTCAGTACCATCTCTAACGGTCAATGTGTTCCACAGACTATTGTAACTTCATCACCGGTCTGGTACCTCAGAGACAAGTATGCGTACCCGAATCCAGAGTTGTTTAATCCCTATCGCTGGATAGATGATTACGGCTTGAACACTACAGAGGATGTACTACGAGACAAGTTTTACATTGCATTCTCTAAAGGCGCAAACACTTGTATCGCAAATCAGTAAGTGCCGTGACCCCAAATGGGCATACAGTCACTGACAAGAAACCTCAGCTTTTCGTACCTAGAATTGTACATGAGTGTCGCGAAGATGGTCGCAAACTTTGAAATCAGTCCTGCCAATGAACGACATAGACCTGCGCAGGTTGCAGGACTAAATAATGCAGATTGGCAACCAGTGCAACTTCCAAAGAGAAAGGAATGGGTTTCAGCCGTAGTCACTGAACCCCTGCTGATCAAGACTGTGCCACGAAGACACGTTTAGCTGGCTTCGAGTGTAGTGTGGGGAGTATTCCGGCTCCATTTCGTTGTTGGGGCGGATAGATAGGAATAAAACATATCCGTTACCTGTATCCGTACGCGTCCTCGGTGTTCGTATAATCGCTAGCCCGAAGAGGTATGTGTTCCTTAGCCAATGATTGCTCAGGGGGGCAACAGGTGTTGGTTGTGCTGCGGGTTTGCAGGTTTGCGTAGCAGGGCCCCAGCCCCAACGTGTTCTTTGAACCCTGGTTCGTCACATTGCATGCAGCATTGTACCTTATCATATTCACAATCTGCAAGCATCTTGTGGCTCCAGAGTCGAAGAAAAACCTTTGCCGCGGCCGGGGTTTCGGCAACCTAGTGTCTTGGCTTCGTACAGCGGTTTACGGCCCGTCCCCGGCAATATCTCGTTGGCCGGCTGAATCTCCGAACCTTACACATGCTTACGCACTGCTATACTTGACCTGCTTTCTATTCGAGCGCACGAAAAGTGGGCTTGACAAAGTCTCTAGAGTCTAGACTTTATGGGTTTACGGTAGTACGGTGTACTGTACAGCCTGGCCAATGGATCCACAAGCGAGTAGTAGCAAACTCATGTAGGTGGGTTATGGTGACTACAGCTATCCGCAATAATGCATCTCACCCATGAACCGGCATGTTTCACCATATGAGGACGTGTCTTCCTAAAATCCCCGAATGTTTTCCAGAGTAAACGCTTGACATCTGCCCACATGCCGGAAATGCCTAGGAGGACGGCTGGTATTCTCCGTCATTGCAACTACGGCATAGCCGTGGCGTGATCTACTTACCAGCGACAACATAACAGACGTGACATTTGGTTTCTTGGACAGTATTATGATGCAACCCAATGACAAGTTCTTCTTGTCGTATCAGCGTCTCAGATGCATGGTCATAGTAACTTCGAATATGTAGTCCAAGAAGAACATCGCACACCTCACAGCTTTCCGAGAGGATCCAGTCCCAGATTTTGATTCCGAGTCGAGATCGTCAGACTTTAAGGATGTCTTGGTCAAGATATTAAGTATGCGTCATGCTCAAGTGACGTGATTAATGATGGCCTTTAGAGTCTGGTTGATGATTTCCTTTTATAATCACCAATGGTTTATCTGTTGTTCACGTCCGTACCATGGTAACATGAAACTAAGACCACGTCACATAGTATGATACGGCAATCAAATTTGCCTCTGGATCTCATCCGACCACTGACATCGGTACTTGACACACTCTTTGTAATTTATCAGACAAAATTCGATTCAATCGCTTCAGACTAAAATGTATCTATGCCGAGCTTAATCAGAACAGAGAGGGAATCCTAAACTAACACCACTAATGCCAATTTTCCAAACTTTTCCTTGCATATCAAAACAGTCCCAAGATCAAACAATTCGTTCCTTAATCAAAGTGAATGCGCCACATCTCTCTGGGAGAGCCAGCCGTGAAATCACTGCGGGTGTGCATGGCCAGGATGTTATCGCTGACCAGCAGATCACCCTGTTGCCAGGAGAAGTAGAGGGTGTTTCTTCTGTCGTGGAGGAGGGAGTCAATGATGTTGCAGATCTCGGTGCTCTCGCTCTCGCTCACGCCCTCGATGACCACGTCAGTGGCGTCAAAGGCAGTCTTGGACTGGGGCCAAGGCTCGTGATATCGGATGCAGGGCTCTCCGGTCGTGGGGTGGTCGACGACGAGAGGAAGGCCACCCATCTTGGTAGAGTCGAAGGAGCTAGTCTGGACGCTCCAGGTGAGCTCTCTCAGTCTATCCACAGACAGGTGAGGAGGCAGGTTCTGGAAGAGAAGTCTGGAGGGCGTGAAGAGGGTGAAGCCGGTGTCACTCGGTGAGGGTGTGATGGAGGTGAAAGACTGGAACCTGTTTTCGGTGTGTTAGGGAAAGAAGCTCATGAAGGTTTTCGCTTGACAAGTTCGCCACAGCGGGGATGTAACTTACTTGGGAGGGTTGGGAAGAAGCTTCTCAGTTCCGTCCGCCTGGGGCACTTTGTGGGTCTTGAACAGCCCATCGAAGTGGAATGGCATCCACTCGGCTGACAGAACGTTGTTCAGACCACGGGTATCGGCACCCTGGTCCTTCACCTCCAGGACGAGACCAAACTTCCATGGCAAGGGAGTGCCGAACTCCTCCGACTTCTTGACGAACAAGTCGCGATCCTTGGTCTTGGTGAATCCTCTCATGACAACGGGTGAGTTGACCTCGGACAAAGCGCGGACCTTTTTGGCCTCAACGTCGTGGATGGAGAGCTTCTTGGAGCCGGGGGCCGGGCGGATGAGGAGACCGCAGGGGTACATGGGCTCAAAGACGACGTCCGACTTCCACTGCATCAATTCGCTCTTCTCGCGGAAGTAGCTAGGTCTTCCCTCCTCGTAGACGAGCTCGTACTTGGGGTCGTTCTCGAAGTCGGCGCGGGGGCCAGTGGTAATGGCGCCGCTCAGGTCGAAAGCGATCGAGCAGTGCCAGGGAGTGGTGTAGTAGGAAGAGGTGGGAAGAGGGCTGATGGAGATCTTGTTCTCGCCGGTGGAGGGGTGAATGGAGAGGCGGATGTGGTCGCGGAAGTTCTCGCGGACGGCGCGAGCAAAGGCCTGTGTTTGGAAAGTTAATAGTTGAAAAAAGCTGTTGATATCATGTTGCAACTTACATCACCACGCTGCAGCATCTGCTTGGAGATGTACTCGATGCCAGTCTTGAACTTGGTCTTGGATCGGTCCTCTCCGACGGGGTAGACATGGCGCAAATCGGTCTCGAGGAACTTGATGTATCCGCGATATGTCAGGCAGGTATCTTCGTTCTTGGAGATCTCGGTGGAGGGGTCGTAGTCAGATCGGCCAAAGGTGTTAAGAAGGGCGCGGCGGAAGTTGGTAGCGTTCGCAACATATGTGATCTCCTCAAGCTTGTTAGGGAGGTGAGGAAGGTGAACAAGATCCTGAAGGCGCGAAAAGTCGATGTTGAGCAGGTTCTTCTCGGCAGCAATGTCGCGGAGGGTCTCTCCATATGACCAAACCTCCTTGTCGGGAACACCGAGAAGGTCGTTGTACACAAGACCGTCAGAAATGATGGTCAACTTCGCGCCGGGCTCGTAGATGTCCTTGATTGCAGAGCAGAGACCGTTGAGGTTGGCGAGAGAGAACTCCTCAGCCTTATCCGGCAGACGGCTGAGGACCTTGTCCTTTGTGTTGGGCGACTTGAAAGGGAAAGCAGGAAGGCACATGCGGATGGGGCTCTGTGTCTTGACTTTTCTGTAGATCTGGGAGAGGAAGCCCAGTCTGCCCTCAAGCTGGGCAGGGCATGTTTCGTGTGGGCGTCTAAGGCGGTAGCGGCAGATGATGTCGAGAATATCGGCTGCTTTTGAGAGGGCTTCGTCGTCCATCATCTGAGGTGCCACCTTTGAGATGAGCTGAACCTCTGGTGACGGTTGGCGAACCGGTGTTTCTACAAGAGAAGGCATGTCGTTGAATGTGGCTGAAGTAGAGGCGAAGAGGACTGAAAAGGTATGAAGAGGTTAGGGTAATGGAGGCTTGATTAACAAGATAAACGACGATCAAAGTAAGTTTAAGGCTGGCAGATGCAGCTGGGTCTTAATGCAATTTGAGCCTGGTCTAGTAGAGAAAAACCTTCCAAAGTCTCGGGAGACGCAACCGGCTTATATCCAGCTTCCTTTCGTAGCATAGCCTGCCAACGTTGCATCTGCATACAGACTTGCTCGGAGATGACGATCACAGGGAAAGGGTAATGGCAAGGAGCAGCGGGCCAAGTCGCGGCACTGGCCGTGATGGGCTCGGAGCTGCGTCAGGTCACATCTGGCCATCCCCCATATCAAGGCCCATAACGGTCTTATTCCGGTTCTCTTCATCCACAATTCCCGTGGTTGTTCGATACACAATGTCGCCACTAGGGGTCAATAGCAAAACGTCTAGAAGGATGGTAAGATGGTAAGGATTTGCCCACGGAATCAATATGCACCCGGCATCCTGGCCCTGTCGACGGATGTCATACCATGCATGACCTTCTTTTCTTTTCTTTTTTTCGTACTCTATACGGAGTACTCTTGATTGTTTTTCCTAATCTTCACCCGGCTTCCATCGTCGATTGAGTCAGTGCCGCCACCCCACTACCCAGGAACGGCCCCATCAGGATCAGGAAACTCATGCGCTCCATCGGACATGGACCAAGTTTGAAGGGCTGACAGCTAAACGACCCACGTCACGGTGGACACCTGCCTGACATAGCCGGCTGAAGACTCGAAGGAGGAATCAAGTGTGTGGCCACTGGCCAGTGCAAGATCTTAGTTGCAGCCGCGCGGGAGTCGTCAAGGGAAGGTGAAAAGATCCTGGTTTGGATCCTCTGGGAGGCGTACCAGTGTGGGGAGGGTACCACTTGTGTGAAAACAGACAAAGAATCGAGCCACCAACGTCAGGCTAGGCTATTGACAGTCTGGTTCATCCCAGGTTAAGCCGCGGCAGATGGATGGCTGAACCGTTGAACATAGTCGTAGACCCCGACTAGTAGGGGGCCAGATTCCGCACCGGCAGGATCCTCCCGCGGCTGTGGGGACAGGGGCCCCCCGAAAAGAGCAAAAACGCGCCTTTCCCGATCGGCTTTCTGGACCGTGACACGATGTCTGGGATGGCATGGCGAAAGATTGGGAGTACCACGGCGCAGATTCCTCACTTGGGCAGGTCTAGCCAGATAGCCGGGATTACAGCTGCATTGCTACATTG